AAAAAAAAAAAAAAAAAAAAAAAGAGCTAGATGCAAGCCTTAGAGTGGATTCCTGTAATAGCAGTAATAGTCACTGATAATTTTCTTCAGTGATCATGGAGCAAGTTCTGAGCTGGCTTTGGCATTCATTCATTCATTCATTCATTCATTCATTCATTCATTCATTCAAGTGGGGTGTCTCCCCTGCTGTGTTTGCCTCCTGCACAGGACTTCCAGTTCCCTCCCTGCTGACTGTCCAGCAGGTTTTGAAGGACCACAGTCCCGTGATTCCTTCCTCCGCTTAGATTCTTAGCTTCCTAAAGTGAGAGCAGGCCTTGTGTGCCTTCCGTTAAACCTGAGTGAGCAATCTGTGCGCTGCGTCCAGCTCAGCGTGGGCCTTTGCTGTAGGCACAGCGTGGGGAGCCTCTCCCCTAGGGTGTGGCTCACTCCATCTTAACAAAGTCGGACAGACCGTGCTCCTCTGCCCTGGGGAAGAGACGGTTGTGTTATCACCTCCCACAACACAGAAAGCCTTTAACCAGCCCGCAAGGACGTTTCCCAGGGGGCAGTTTGCAAAGCGCCCCCAGCTAGTCATCACTAGCAGCTTTTCAACAGACGCTATAGTCTGTGTCTCCAGATTGAACTCATCCCTGTTTGGTATTGCCGAGGAGAAATACCAAAGAAATCTCCCCATGTCAAATGCACCGTCACACACGCCTTTGCGGGTCTGTCTCGCTGCAGAGCTCTGCCTCTGTCCTTCTTGCACACTCTGAATCTAAGTTGTTAAGAATCCAAAAGTTTACTATGAACTCTGACCCATTTATTCCAGCTCTTACTTCCCCTTTCACAGCCTATGAGCCTGTCACAGCGATGCTGACCCTCCCACACCACACACACACACACACACACACACACACACACACACCCCACATACAGTCACACACCACACACACTCACCCCCCACACGCTCTCACACAACACACGGTCACACACGACATACACATATACACTCACTCCACACATGTGCACTCACATACCACACACACACACACACACACACATCCCACATACAGTCACACACCACACACACACACACACACACACACACACACACACACATCCCACATACAGTCACACACTCCCATCCCACACACACTCACCCCCCCCACGCTCTCATACAACACACAGTCACACACATATACACTCACTCCACACATGTGCACTCACATACCACACACACACATGCACTCATACCACACACGTGCACACACATTTAAGGTGTAAGAAGTGAGTTGAGTTATAGTGAACTACACAATAATGTACCATTAAGAAATAAATTCAGAAAATCAGTAGTTTCAAGGGGATAATGATAGGGCCTCATTTATTGTAAGAGGGGAAAGTTTAACCAACAGCTTGTTAGCTGTTTAAACCACTGGCTTCGGGCGGCACTATTATTATAATAATATGGCAATTTTGTTAAAATAGTCCTTAACGACAATTAAAAATAATCCAGTCCTTGGTGGTTAACAACTTTGTTTCTAGTGTTCTAAGCAGAGGGTCTCTGGCTTCCCAGGAGTGTTTCTCCTGCTCCTCATTCAAAATCTGACTGCATAGATTCTCTCAAGTGACCTTTTGGAATAGTCTGGAAACTATAGGTATTATTGAATGTTATGAAAGATGGTTTATTTTGTAACATTTTTAAAACGAGAGTGGCCCTGGGTATCAAGTGTGCCTGAATTGTGTGTTTTACATACAGAATATATAGTCAGGCACTCAAGAATCACCACTTTGTCCGTTAGAAGAGCATATCACACGCACACAATGCACAGCACACAGTTGATCTCAGGTAATTACAGTGATTCGGAGTTCTGCAAATTCTCTCAATCAGTAATATTAACACATGAACCACCACAGAATAATGTAGCCCATGGTATAGCTAACTCCATGTAGTACTTTATCACTTATGTCCTCCTAACACACACATGTTCAAACGGGTGTGTGCACAGCTATATAGATTCTATCTTTGTTGCACTATGGTTTGGGAGATAGAAAGGGTTTGTTAGAGATGACCGTGACCTGTCCAATAAGTGGCAATATCTGATGTTCTTCAATGTCTTCCTTAACATGCCCTGGTGGTGTGGGGGAGTACAGGGAAGATGGCTGACTCGGTGAGGGGCTTGCTCCCTGACACCCACCTCAAGAGCTGACATGGTGGTATTCACCTGCAATCCCAATGCCGAGGAGGCGGAGACAGGAGAACACAGGAGCTTGCTAGCTAGGAAGTCTAGTTGAAGCAGTGAGGTCCAGATTCAAGGAGACATTCTGTCTCAAAAACTAAAGTGAAGCTATTTCAACTTCTGGCCTCCACACTAATGTACACACACATGTTCACAAACACCCCTGTGCGCGCGCGTGCACGCGCGCGCGCGCGCACACACACACACACACACACACACACACACACACACACACACACGGCCTGACATCTGCCACGAGCACTGGCTGAGTTCCTTACTTGCTTCCTTCCTTCAGCAGGGTGATGGCCACGAGGATCCGCCTCCTGAAGAAGATCAGCACGATGATGATGACGGCTTCAATGATGGACAAGATGATCACTGAACAAGAAAAGATGCCAGTCTGCAGTACAAGTCAGCACCAGAAGCAAGCTTATCTGCAGACCTCGGTCTGAGTTTATCAGGCCGTTTCTGCTAATTCTGGTACTTCCTGGTATAATGAAACTCCCGGGGAGGTTAGCTGCCACAGCCTTAGTTGTTGGACAGCTGTTTGTTCATGGTGAGCATTTCAGTGGTGGTGTGCTTATGGCCTCCTTCAGGCACTCTACCACCGTGGCTCTGGTTTACACCACACTCCAGGGAACGTCTAGAAATCAGTTAACCCAAGTCATGGGAGGAACTGATAACAATCATTGTGCATCCCTGCCTTCTTTTAACTAAACAATGCTTTTGTTTTCATAGGCATATCTTATTTTCTTAAAACACTAATTTGAGTCCACAACTGTGGAGTATACCCATATGCTAAAATTGTTTTCCTTGAACAAACCTAAGAAAATGAAATATATGAAAATTATTCTATATTCTGAAACTGCGTTGTCAAAGAACACTGTATTAGACTTACACATTTATACAATGGCCTGAAAATGGTTACACCAGAGAACTTGATTGTTCTTTGAATTGATACACTCTAGTCTCTGTTTTTGAATAAGAACACACAGCAGAAATATATTTAATATAAAGCAGGCACTATAACTGAAGAGGAAAAGTAGGCCTAGGGCTGAGACTTACCCAAGGTCAGAAATGGAGCTAATAGCAAAAGCAGAAACTGAGCTATTGCCTATCACAATCCAGGGCTGATAAAATAGTCATTTTTACATTTGTAATTCTACTTGCTCCCAGGTTTTTCTGAAGCAATATACCTTACCATGTATGTCCTTCCTTCTTCCTGGTACCCCCAAATTTTTCCTAACCCAGATCAGTATCTATCAATGTCTGATAAAGAGTGGGGAACCTAAGGCCATTCCAGAAGAGATTGGTATGGCCAGGCTTTTAAACATTTTTAAATGTTTAGAAAGTTCTGTAGTTTCCTAAAGGCACATCTGTTGATTTCCAGTGGCAGGCACTGACTGTCTCCACGGCGTTTTTATGGGTGGTTCCTCAGAAACAGCTGAGAGCATGTGTGCCTAGGCCTCCTACCAGAGTGGTCTTAAGGTGTGGGTAAATCCTGGGCAATAGTGGTCTCCTTTGGAAAGGACTATGTAGAGTTTTCTCTTTGGGTCCTGCCAAGCCCCGGCAATCCAACAGCCCACTTATAAAATAAAGACACAGATGCTTCTATTATTTAAACTGTTTGGCCTAATGGCTCAGGCTTCTTGTTAACTGTTCTTATATCTTAAATTAACCCATTTCTATAAATCTATACCTTGCCACATGGCTTGTGGCTTGCCAGTATCTTACATGTTGGTACTCATGGCGGTGGCTGGCAGCGTCTCCTGACTCAACCTTCCTGTTCCCAGAATTCTCTTCTCTGCTTGTCCCACCCATACTTCCTGCCTGGCTACTGGCCAATCAGCATTTTATTTATACAGATTGATATCCACAACAGGACTAGCAATAGTGTGTGGATGCCTGAGGCTTGAGGTATCGCCCAAATTCAGGGAAAAGTGAAGAGAATGCAATTCCACATTTTTGTAGGTAAAAAGAAAAGCTACAACATGCATCATTGAAAGAATAATGAAAACAAAAGGAGTTATCTTTGGTGAGGGCTGAAAATGGGAAGGTAAAATCCAAGAACTTGGTCTTTCCATCAGGCCCTGTGTAAAGAAAAATTGGATTTCCCAGATGGAATAATGTGCTGGAGACATGTGTCCCAAAGTCTGGTATGGGAACAGAGAAGATAGCCACAAGTCCCTTTGCTCAAAATGCCCCACACTGGTAATCTTGACACATTTTGCTCTGACACAGGACAGTGACATTCCAGATAAACCCTGGTCACAGAGAGGTTATGATAATGGTGTCACTCAGGGACATATTCTCACTTGCCCCTGAATGCCCAGATTTCTTGGATGAAAAGGTAAAAATAGGTTTGAAATTGATGGAGGCTCATGCTGGGAATAAGTGTGTGATCAGATGATGCCTCCATGCCTCCTCAGACACCCATTACTGAGTTCCTCTGACATGTAAGGGCCAAGATGAATGACAAGAAGGGGAACATTCAAAACCAAAATTCAATGAGAAATTGTCAAAACCTAGATATTCGTGACCATGAATCTCCAACTACAGAAATGTAAGAACACCGCCATCTTTGAGATTTATTAATTACTGCCAACCTTAAATAACTCAATAATATAAACAATTAAGAATGTAAATTTATTTTCAGTTATTTCTTACAATTCCTGCAATAAATAGAGTGTTTTGCTATGAAAGTAAAATAAGTGTCTTCTTTCTTCTAAAGCAAGATCATAAAAATCAGCTATTTATTTCTTTCATAGGTTAACATCAATCAAGATCCCATAATCAAACTATTTTAAACAAAAGGTGAGTAGCCTGGGATTCTTCTAAAGTAGTGTTATCTTAGGCTCTACAACAAGTTCACAACTTCCCCATTTACTACAGGTCATAGACATTTACAGTCATCACTGAGTGATGGATGTGTTCAGCAGGATGCTCCAAACTCAAGCTTCCTCTTGGAAAAACAAGCCTTCTTCATTGTTTCCATTTTAATAAAACTGGTTCTGAAAATCTACTCACTCATTAAGAACCACGCCTGTTTCAAAGGAAAGACTACTCTTATGTTGGTCTGAATCCCGATGTCGTAGATCATGAAAGCTGACTGTGGTTTCTGCTGAAGGCCATTGTATTCCAGGTAACAATACCATATTCCTTGAAAAGAAAAGACCAATATCCAGTGTCATTTTCTGAAGTAGAAGCATACCTACATAAAAATGATCAATATGGCCATTTCTACAGAGTTAGAATCATGTTTGGCTGCAGTAGTCTAACTGCTGCTCCAGGTGACATAAATGCTTCCTGAATTTATGTGGCTTTCAATGCACTCCTGGCTTGTAGCAACCCTAACACATACCAGCAGGACAGTGTTAATATGCTACAGTACATCTGTCCTGCAGAAAAAAATGTGCTGATGCCCCCTTATTTATACTCAGTACTAATTTATTACTTACTGGCTTATCTTGTATACTTGTATGAATCTTGAGAGTACTTTAATGGATGCATTCAAGTTTAGAATTGGGCTGATTCTGCTCCTAATAGCTTTATTTCAAGTTCTATTTTGTCTGATATTATTAATTCCAGGGTCGTGGGTTCGAGCCCCATGCTCTACCAACTGAGCTAGCTAGGCTCTGGGAGGCAGTGGGTCTATGTCTCTATCTAAGCAGCATGTAGCCCAGAAACCTCTTTTTTTTTTTTTTTTTTTATAGCAAAACCTATATCCACCACGCACCATGCTTTGTGGCTTGGGGAAAACTCTGTGTAACTTGGTGGGAATGTGCCACCAACACACCATTGAGTAGCTCAAGCACACAGGCTGTGGCTAACTTGAGAGAGACAACTAGAAAGCTGTTTTTAGCTCTGTTTTAGAATCTTCTTTCTCAGGTTTAGGTGGACATTCTTTCCCCACATTGGGCGCCAAATGTTGCCAGAAGTTTTCCTGGTCCCACCAGGCTCACAGCCGCTCAGACCCAAATAAACACACAGATGCTTGTATTAATTCAAACTGTTTGCCCTAATGGCTCAGGCTTCTTGCTAGCTAAATCTTACAATTAAATTAACCCATAATTCTTTTTTATGTTTAGCCATGTGGCTTGTTAACTTTTTTCAGTTCTGCCTTCACATCTTGCTTCTCATGGAGGTGGCTGGCAGCATCTCCTGACTCAGCCCTCCACTTCCCAGAATTCTCCTCTCTGCTCACCCCATGTATACTATACTTCCTGCCTGGCTACTGGCCAATCAGTGTCTTATTTATCAATCAATCAGAGCAACACATGTTCACGGCCTACAGAAAGACATGCACAGCAAGCTACTATAGATTTCTTTTCATAATGGCTAGTCTTTAAAACTTCTACTTTTAACTGTTGCGTTTCCTTACACATTCTGTAAAGTTTGTAAATAACATACAGTTCCAACTTGCATGTGTGCATTTTAATCTTATCTGACAATTTCCATGCTGTTTTTATTTGCATATGTTCTCTTTCTTCTAGTTCACTGCCATCTACTCTATTTTTATAACCACTCTTGAAAATTTCCCGCCTGCTGAGTAATCAAGTTTGATTTAACTAGGACATGCAAGGGCCTTTGGTTACTTGGTGGTCACCCCCATTCTGCTCATTTGTCCAATATCTTAGTTACATGCATTTCAGCTAAAAAGGCATCTTTTTTTTTTTTTTAAGACAGGGATTCTCTGTGTATCTCTGTCCTGGAACTCACTCTGTAGACCAGTCTGGCTTCATGAATTCAGAGATCCAACTGCCTCTGCCTCCTGAGTGCTGGGATTAAAGGCATGTGCTACTACCACCTGGCTAATGTTATTATTTTACATGAGTAAAGTTTGCTTCACCTTACCTACTGTTTGCCAATTCATTTTCTTTGCTTACTCTCCTTCATGAGGCTCATATTATTATGAGGAATCATTTTCCTTCCCTCTGTCTACACCAGGCATCAGGAAATACATCTGGTTACACATACAGACATCTCCACTGCTGCCTCTTTGGCCAGGGCTTACTGCATTCTGGCACATGACTGTTGCAGTAGCCCCCCAACTGGCCTTGTTGTTTCTGCCCTTGTCTTGCTTAGCATGGGGACCACGGTCACCATCTCTCCTCTGCTCAGAACCATGCAGAACCTCGCCATTTCACTCCAAGAGACAACAAGGCCTCCCAATTCCCTGTGTGGCTCTGGTCCTCCATGAATTCTGTGACCTCCTCAGCCTCCTAGCCATTCCTTCAGCATGCGGTTTCCTCAGGGCCTCTGCTGCACCCGTGGCTAGAACTTTCTCTGGTCACCACGTCATAACTGCATTGCTTCCTCCAGGTATTTTCACATCGGTCTTCTCACAAAGACCTACCTCGGGGCTGGGGGTGTAGCTCAGTGTAGAGCCCTTGCCAGACAACAGCAACAGCAGCACCGACACCAATCCTCCCCCTCCTAACCCTGCAGTGTTCGGTCCTCAGCCTGCACAGTATGCTCCGTGTACGTCTGCTGTGCTTTACAGTTTTCCTATAGCAACCATCACCTTCAAATATACTTCACTGCAAGCTTGAAAAAAGTGAAGACCTTCATCTATTGTGAAGTATTGTGAGAAGTGAAGTCTACTGTTGCATGTCCAGCACAATGTGTGTCGTAATTGCTCAGTTGATGTTTGATGAATGTGCATAAATGACTATATGATCTCACGCATTTCTCTTTCTCTACCTTCCTTGGTATAACTATGGCCTCCTGGACCTATGGATCTTTATCTTTCCAATATGACTGATACATATGATATCATTCTTTCTGGTTCTTAATCTTTCTCCACTTTATCCACACAATAGTATTTTTGTCACATTCTGTTGTGTTTAAATAACTTTGAAATTCATTCATCTTTCAATCCATTGGTTATCTAACGGGGCTGTTTACTAGAAGCTCTCTGAGTGTCATGACAGCAGTAACTGAGCCAGTACTGACTCCGTTCTGACAGCCTGAGATCCACGCTTCCTATCTTCTGAGATGGAGAGTCCGTCATTGGGCTGAGGACACAGATGCGGGAGCTAGGTCTTGTAATCTTAAGAATGTTTTCCACAGTTACTCAGTTATACAGTATGCAGCCAGGTTACAGCCAAGGCTAGGTACTGAACATGAGCCTGCCTACACCCTTACTATATAACATGTGCAAGCCTGCTTAAGCATCAGTAAGAGGACTTGGTTATTTTCTGTGCCTACTACTATAAAAATTACATTGCCAATCCAAATTGTGTTGTGGGAGAAATAATTCTTTTGAATATAAATTGCTCCATATTGTCCCATTTGCTGTTTAGAAGGTCCAAAGCAAATGTCCATAATGTTATACAACCCAGTGGAAGGTATGCTGTGGGATGCCTTTCTGTATGCTGTGAATCTGTGTTGCTCTGATTGGTTGATAAATAAAACTGTTTGGCCTATGGCAAGGCAGCTTAGAGGCAGGCAGGAAATACAAGCAGAGAGACAGGAAGAAGAAAGACAGAAGGGAAGAGACAAGAGACAGCCACCCAAGGAGCAACATGTAATGGGATGCAGGTAAAGCCACAGAACATGTGGAGATACATGGATTAATAGTTATGGGTTAATTTAAGATACAAGAGCTAGCTAGCAAGAAGCTTGAGCCATAGGCCATCAATTTTGGAATTAATATAAGCCTCTGTGTGTTTACTTGGCTCTGAGCAGCTGCAGGACTGGGTGGGACACAGGAAAACTTCCAGCTACAGAGGCATTTGAATTCATTTATTTAGTGTTCACATCAGGCCTGATGTACACAGCTTTTGGTGAGACTGAATTGAACTCTTCATCCAATGAGTGTGATTCAGCGTGCTTGCCTCTAAAGAGTGATGCCTCACTATAGGGACCAACTACTAAAGAGTGTGATAGCACCTGATTAAAAGTACTATCAAATCTGCTAAGAAAAATTGATCAAGCCATGCAGCTGTGCAGACCTGGTCATTGATTGATAGACAAGTTACAGGGGAAGACAAACTGTTTGAAATGTTTTCATTAATCTAAAAGAATCCTTTCTTCTCCTTCCTGATCCCCATCAGGTCCAAGACCAAAGGCAGCTAGGGAAAGTAGTACAGAATTTTTCTCAAAATAATAACAAAAAGAGTTATAGAGAAAATATCTGTGAACTTAAGTAAATTTTGTAAAGTTAATTGTGGTTGATATACTGTGCACCCCAATAAACTTATCTGGAGGTCAGAGAACAGAACAGCCACTATATTAAACATAGGTTTAGGCAGTGGTAGCACATGCCTTTAATTCTATCACTGAGGAGGCAGGGATCTGTCTGGATCTCTGTGAGTTCAAGGCCACAGTAAGAACAGAGCCAGGTGTGGCGGCACACACCTTTAATCCCAGCACTTGAGATCTCATGTCTTGTTTGGGAAAGACACACACCTTTAATCCCAGGAAGTGATGGTAGGAAGCAGAAAGATATATAAGGCATGAAAACCAGGGACTAGAGGCTTTTTAAGCTTTGAGACTTTTAGCAGCTGTTTAGCTGAGATCCATTCAGATGAGGACTCAGAGGCTTCCAGTTTGAGGAAATAAGATCAGCTGAGAAATTGGCAAGGTGAGGTTGGATGTGGCTTGTTCTATCTCTCTGATCTTTCAGAATTCACCTCAATACCTGGCTCCAGGTTTGTTTTTATTGATAAGACTGTTTAAGATTCATGTTACAGTTAATGATTCAAACTAATTAAGCCTAAGGCAAGTAAATGCTTTCCAATAATTGCTAATGGCAAGGAAAAATTATTCTGATATTTAGCAATTTTAAGAGTTGTATTACTTACCATATCCTAAAATTCCAAGCACACCAAACGTGAAGACCCAGAAGAGGAATCCAGCTATGAACCTCAGGAGTATCAAAAAAATCCAACTCAGCACCATGGCAATGGTCAGGCCACTGGAGGAACACCCACAACACACACAGTCAGGTGTGCTAAGTGCAACATAACACCAACATCAAGTCAAGAGCCCTTTCCATTTGAAATCACTCTAGAATATTCTACTTTACCTGGCTGGAGTAACACATATGATTCTAAGAAGTATAAACAATGGTTTCATTAAGAATTTCACTTAAGAATTTAAAATAAAAGAGGAGAGCAGAGAGCCAGTGAGCACTTTACACCTGAAACATTCTGCGTGTCTCTAGGAACCAGACCCCCAGCTCACAGCTTTGACCTGTCAGCCACACTTTCCAAATTGCACTCTTTTTCCTTCACACCCTTCTAGTTAGTGGTAAGTTTTCTGTATATAAAGGTTCATGATGAAACCGTGATAATCTAGTGACTGAGGGAGACGTCCCAGAACACAGCTGTTTGGAAGTATCAGCGCAGAGGTAAAGAAATGAGAAACACAACTGGTCACAGAGTTCCTGAATTCGCGACTTTGTAGTCATTGACACATATAAATAATTTTGAGTGGTATGAGATGCCTGGTACCATCTGGCATCTATTTGTGGTTCCAAGGGATCTGGGTACATGACCTGCAGGCAAGATTAGTCTCCTGGCTACACAGTTTGTAAAGCATAGAAAGCAGGAATATCTTCAGCTGCTTTAGCTTCTCTCAGGAGGTACTGAGGAGTACTAGACTGAGATACTAGAGGAGTGTGTCCACTCCGTTCCCATCCAAGTGAAGGTCAGAACGGAGTCCACTGGCACAATTTCCTCAAAGAGAACTCACTAATACTGGAAAGTTGACCTACTCTCCTATTAACTGCTGACATCCTTGATGAAATTTGCAAACTGCTAATCAGCATCAGGCAGAGTCTGATGTATTTGAGGAAGATAGAGTCTCAAAAGTCATCCTTTAAGAGATCCTCCATAATATTTGTCACTGGATAGATGACAGTATGGTATTGAGGTTCCTTCTTAGGTCATGAAGGAATTTCAAAAGCCTTTCCCTCTTGAAATTGTAGAAACTTTAATGGTTAACATTTAAATATGGCTGAAGGTTACTCTATTGCATGACCCAAAGGGAATACTTAAAATGGTATTTATGAAAGATTTTGGAGCAGAAAGGCGGGAAATAAAGGGAGGTGCTTAGGGTCTAGGGATGTGGGGGGTACAGAGTACACACAGGTTTAGTGTGTGTCGGGTAAGATGTGTCCAAGCAATAGAGGGAAAAAACCAAGGGAATAGGAATTAAAGAAATTACCTTGTGGCATTTGTTTGTGAATAGGAAATCCCAGTTAACTATTGTCAAGTACAGGTTGCAATCTTGACTATGGAGTTATTGCAGGCAGAACACTGAATCAGTAAAACCTCACAAAAGGAACTAGCTCTAACATCATGAAAATTACTTTTTAGTATTTCACTGAAAATACATGTTAAATTTAGCAAATTCCCTGTGCTTAAAGACATGGTATCTGCTTCTCCCACTCTTACTTTTATAACTGCCTCTGAACTCACATTTCTGTGTATCTACTATGTTTTAAGAACTATATTGTGAGCTAGGGATATAAAGAATTGATAGTTTAGCTGGGTATAGTAGTCTACACCACTAATCCCAGCATGTGAGAGGTAGAGGTAGGAAGATCAGGAGTTCAAAGCCAACTTTTTTAATTACTTAGAAAGTTCAAGGCCAACCTTGGCTACAAGAGACATAGTCTCAAAAAATGAAAAGGAAAAAAAGAAGAGCTGTCTGTCTATCAGAGGAAAGAACCAGGTAAATAAAATATAGAACAAAAGATGTTATGTAGAAAATAAGTATCTATGCATATATAGAGGTTTGTACGTATAAACAATGGATATGAGTGCTGTGGAATAATCCTTCTGTACATTGTGAAAATGTGTTGCTCTCATTGTTAATAAAAAGCTGATTGACCAATAGCTAGGCAGGATTCTCAGGGCAGAGAGAATGCTGGGAAGAAGGGAGGAGTCTGAAGAGTCTTGAGCCAGATGCAGGAGAAGCAACATGGAAAGTTCATAGATGAGATAAATGAGCCTTGGGCAGCACATAGATGAATAGTAATGGGATAATTTAAGTTGTAAGAGCTAGCTGAAGACAAGTCTAAGCTATTGGTCAAGTATTTATAATGACTAATAAATCTCTGAGTGGTTATTTGGAAGTGGCTGCCAAGACACAGAAACTCTGTCTACATATGAAGAAAACAGAGGGGTGAAGTAATTTATCTAGGGAAAATAATAGAAGTTTTATAAAGTGTCATTAAACTGATTTTAAAGGATGAAGTGCAGGCGCTGGAGATGCAGTTCTGTGAAAGGGTGCTTGCCTAGCACATATAAAGCCCCAGGCTAGCTCTCCAGTACTTAAAAAAAGTGAAGTGGAGTCACCCTGGACTCTGAGAAGGATATGGGCAAGTAGAGAAAGTCATAAAATGTGCAAAAACACAGTATTTGACAAGCAAGGGGTGGCAGATTATTTATATATAATTATTATATTTAGATAATTATTTATATCTATATTTATATAATCTAGATAAATATCTATGATTATATAGTATATAATCATAAATATATATAAATAATTAACACTATATAATCAGATGTCTCTCATGCTTGTAATCCCAGCACTTGGAAGGCTGAAACTAGTGGATGGAGTTCAAGACTTTCCTCCATGGTTACACAGTGAGATCTAAGTCAGTCTAGACTACAGAAAAATGCTTACGTGTGTGTGTGTGTGTGTGTGTGTGTGTGTGTGTGTGTGTGCAGGTACCCATGAAGGCCAAAAGAGAGCCTTGGATCCCTTGAAGTGGGGGTACAGGCCATTGTTAGGTGCACAACGTGAACTGAGCTGTAGGTCTCTGCAGGAGCAGCAAGTGCTCTTACTCACTGAGCCATCCTCCACCCACTAAGAACCTGTCTTTAAAATAAAACACGTAAGGCTAATCAAGAAAAGGACATGGGTGAGCTTGAGAAGCTGTGCTGATGTGATTACAGAGCACCGTGGAGTCACTAAGGAAGCACTGATTTTATTCTCTGGTCACTAGGGGAACACAGAAGCTTCTAAACTCTGAAATGTGGTGCAAAGTTAGAGAGGACAGAAACCTATGTCAGAAGAGTGATCCCATTCTTCAGCTTTCCAAAATGCCCATCTTACGTCTGAAAATTCAAATCTCTACCTTTGTAAGTATTTAAGTTTCTCAGAACTAGAATAGCCTTTCATGGTAATAATTACCATGTGTGAAAAGAACACAGTAGCGATTACAAATGATCCTTCAGGGTCTCGGGAGGGACAAAGGAGGAAAAAGCCCGGGAAACCAAACCATGCCCACCTCTGTGACATGTGAAGAGCAGAACACAGGACCCCAGACACTTGGCAGGGACTTGGCACAAGTACCAGTTCTACTAGTGAATTAACATATAAGCTTGAAACTTACATTCTGTGGGCATGTTGTCAAATATATTTGCCCTGTCCTTACCCTCATGTGAAAAAGAAAATGACCCTGAGGTCTGAGTCCACTTCTCACCCTTTGATAAGAGCAGAAGCGGAAGGGTCTACAAAGGTCACGAGAAAACCTCTAGAGAAGACATGCACAATCTCACTCACATGAGAATCCATTTCCATGAAGTCATGTAGTCTTCAAATACCTTCATCCCAAATGTCCTGGCATCGAGGAATTTAGTGATGCCACTGAGTTCAATGAAGGAAAAGTTAGTTATTTCTGGTTAACATTAGAAAAAAATGTCCTTGTAATAAAAGAGACTTTGCATGATTCTATTCCAGGTATGCTTTTAGTCAGCGTCTACTCTAGTGCCTCTGCACTAGCCACAGACACCTGTCAAATGTCATTTCAGGAGGCCTGCAAGTGTGTCTGTGGTGCCGTATACAGAGGAGCTGGCCATGAAGAACAGGGGCGGATCCTTCTGCAGTACACACCACATGCCCCTGTATGCAGAAGCTCCCCTGTAAGAGCAAATTCCAATGACAGGATCTAATTTACAAAGTTTCTAGATCTGACCATGCATGTCATCTTAATCCCTCTTCCTGCATCTCTGTCATGTGGTAGCCAGACAGCATCATGGAAAACAGGTCAAAGTATGCACAGATCACTGTGTCCAACACCATGTGTGGTCAAGGTGAACACATAGAATGGCACTGTCAAATTTTTCCTACAGCCCCCTTCACAGCATGTCCCTCTTCTAAAGTAACCATCCAACTACCATGATGTGTGTGTGCATCACAGGACAATGGATTTTTGCTCTGTGTTTTGTGTCCATGGAGTCGTACGTGTGTCATTATTTTATAGGTTTCCACACAGCTTCCTATTTCTGAGGTTCATTCACATTGCTGTTAAATTCCACATATGAAGGAGGGGTGCTGTACCACCCGCACTGTCAATGTTTTTTAAGAAAGAGGAATCAGTTTTCAGGATTCTTTTCACTTTGTTTTTCACTTAGCAAGTCAGCTATGAAAGGGAAAAGGCTATGCCTATGCACATGTGAACGTGCACACATCCAAGGAAAAGTATTTCTCAACAATCTAGACTACTGTGTGCCACATAGAGCCAAGCAAACAGCAGGCAACTGGCTGGGCTCCGATTGATATGTAGACTCTGATCTGGCAGCAGCACCTTTCTTCACACCAAATCTCCGTGCTTGCTGATAAGGGAAGCCATAACCACCCTGAAAGATGCTGTTCTTTCTAATCTAGAGTGCCATGTGTACTTCATTGTGCTATGTAAGTGATTTCCTGTAGCCCCGTGTGGTACTTTAATATTCTATATACTAACAGGATGCATCAAAACAACACAGAAACGTAAACATACTTCGCAGCCTCCGTGAGCTCTATGACATTTCTGCTCCTCTCACTTCCATCTTCAAATTGCATCCCATTTCCTATGGTTAAGTTTCCCTTGATGGGGGAGATGTGAGGCAGACATCTCTGCAGGACTGTGAAAGAGAACAAAAACCACAGCAAACTCCTTTGTGCTAGTCTATCCTTTAAAACCTTCTCTTATCTACAGCCAGGTGCTTGCCGGGCATGAAATGTGCTCAGGGCAGATAGCTAATCACCCTTTATTGACATCTTCATGACTTTCTGGCATCTGTGAGACTGAAATGGGAACACCATCACACTATGAAGTCCCATCCCAACCTGTTGATTTTTTTTACACGTGAAAGGTTCATCCAACCACAGAGATAAGATGTGTAGGTGAAGTGGCATTGGCTCATACCACACATGCTGAACATGCTTTGATGGAAAAGCTGCTTGTATGGTGGGAGGGGTGTAGGGCTGTCACTTAGCAGATTCTGGATGGGGCAGGGATGCAGCTCAGTGAGGAAGTGCCTGTGCGAAGCCCTGGATTCAGTCTGACACTGGGTAATGTGGTGGGCTCCTGTGACCCCAGTACTTGGGAAGAGCAGGCAGGAGGATCAGAAGTTCGTGGTCACTCTTGGCTGTCTCAGATCAGCCTGGGATAGATGAGAGCCTGTTTTGAAAATCTTTGTAAGGACTTCTCAGTAAAACCTTGGAAACTAGAGTTTAATAATTATTCCTGCAAGAGTAAGAACCAGCTCAAGCGTCCAGTTCCTGTGAAGACAGGCCTTCTGGTGATGAATTCTTAGTAGCTTGCCTCCTTGCCAGCAACATTACCTACACGTCTTTGAAGGATAGAAACTATCATGGAGGGCCACACTGTTTGACTGATGTCATTTCTGAGAAGAGTTAAATTGTTGTTCAGTCCTCTGTGGTCTCGTTTTGATTACATGGAGTCCTAGCCTCCATTGATACACTGCTTTAACGTGTGTTGCAGTACGAGGCACCACACATATTCTAGAATATTAGAGCCCTAATTTTAAGTGAAGAGAAATCAGAAGTGGATAGATAGTTTCCATATTCTTTCTTGTAAGTAGTTTCACTAATTTATATGTAGAACTTGGACCTAAAACATTGAAGCAATTGATACAGTGGACAAGCTTCCTTATGAAGCTCTCCAGCTCTCCTTGTCTTGCCCATGCTACCCAGCTCCAGCTTTCAAAGTCTAATGACTGGGGCTGATTTCTTTCATAATGTCCCCATCTTTCTCCTGCTCTGCCTTCCCTTCCGGGCAGACCGGAGGGGGTAGCCTCTGCCACCCCCTTCTGCTCACTCTCCGTCCAGTCAGCTCCTGGCTTCCACCTCTCCCCAGATGGCCTCATCCTACTCCTCCCCTGGTGGGTGCTTGGCACACAGTAGGGCTCAGTGTATTTCTTCTCTCTCATTCTTTCTAGTCTTTTTGTGTGTGTGTGCCTATATACATTCCAAGTGTAAGTTTTTACCCAGAAGTTCTCCTGGCTCTATTTTACATAGTACTTCTGGTAGTTACTTCCAATCTGTTAGTGCCCATTAATTAATATGCTCAGTATTTATTTGGAAAGTACAGAAAATATGAAGAAAAGTTACGGAATGATACACAGTCCAGCCACCCACAGTGAGCCACGTGACTTTGCTGATCAGTTTCCTTCCCATCTACTACATCTCTCCCTTTTTGAACGTCACAGTAACACAGGCAACAGAATTCTGTTTGCCTCTTCCTCTCATAATCTTACTTGGTCTCCTTTTAGAAACAATTTAAGGACTACATGTTATTAGTTGTACATTGTACCACTTAGTGGTATACTTGATCCTCTGTTAAGAAGAACACAAGCTGGTTGTAATGTTGATCTTAATGTCTCTTTCATTATTTCTTTAGACTATTAGAGATTATGGATTATTTATTTTTATATCCCCATGTATATTTTAAAACATGTGATTTTAATCAAAATCTAATTGTGAGAACAGCTATTTTTCCTTTTCCCATAAGAAGTTTCCATGCTGTTCTCGGCCACATACAGCCAGCACCCAGGGCTTCCTGGTGAGGCCATTTCTCACGTATTAGAAAATCCATTATCTCTGCCTCCGGGTCTTTAACGGACCACAGAAAGGTGATGGAGGCACTAACACATGGATTCTGTGGCAACCAATTCAACATTGACTTCCTGCTTAGACTGGTGCCTGTCACCTTTCCTCTGCTTTAGAAGAACTAGACACTCATTGTGGAAGAGCTGAGGAGCAGAAAACACGAGAAAGAGAATGCCCAGTTTTCTCTCCCTTCCCACACCATCTGGCAAACAACTCCTTAATAGTATTGGTATATTTCTTTCTGATCTTTTTCCTCAAATAATTTCTGGGATTCGTTTTAATTTCAATATGCTTGACACGATGCTGTCTGCAGCAGCTTGCATTTTGCTGAGTATTGACCATATGTGCTTTGCTCTATATTGTTAGTTCTACGATATCTCCTCTCACGAACACACTGCAGTGTTCTCGTGCTTGTGGACATTGCAAGCTTTCCTTTGTTTCCAGCCCTACCCTCTGTGATCTCTGAGTTCTGTATTGATTGCTCTGAATGACCTCTGTGTTAGGAATCTTCATATGAAGCTTTTCCTCTGTAATTAGAATTACATCCTTCAGAAAGAAGAGTGAGTGATTATTTCAGTTTTTCTAAACAGCCTATGCGTTTATACTCAAACAGTAAAGAAACAAAATATATATTCATCAAAGAAACACAGAAGAATTTCAAATGTCACATTATGAAGACAAGATATACAACTTAGAAATTGCTTCTTGGGAAATTTCTGAACTTTTTTTGCTCAATTCAGGAGTGTGCATGACTGTTTGTGTGTGCTATATATGCGTGTAGGGATACCTAGGATCACATTGATGGGCTTCTTAAAATACATCATATCAGTTCCCAATGTGTTTATGTAGCAAACCTCACAGAGCTTTAGTGGAAATGCCCCAGCTGGAGTGAGGACAGGTGTGACCAGAGACACTGCTCCTAATTAACACCGGACTCTCAGGGTGGGACTGGACCTTTCTCAGCCTCAATCAATTGAGACCTTATCAACTGAGGAAATGCAATTAAATCACATTTTGGTAGACTCTATGTTTCAAAGGTAAAAGAATTATCACTTACTAGGTCTACTTGGATAAACTGCTGGGGGGCAGTCACCACGGGACAGATCTGAGAAAGTCTGAAAGGAAAGGGGCATGTTAACACTTCAAAGCCAGCAACGATCAGTTTCACTCTCAATATCAGAACTCTGAGCTTGACATCTTAACTCCACATCTCATTTTCCCAAATCGTCTCTCCAATGCCAATAATTGTAAGATTATTACATACAAATTATTGTTGGAAAATACCTCTAAATGCTCTGAATGACTCAACAAAGATTAAAAAAAACAAGATCTTACAAAAGCAAGGCACACCTCTGAAGATATCTTAGTCATACTCTGAATCTCTTAGCCTTCAAAATTTTTTCTGGAAAAACAGCATTTTCTATAATTAACAACCAATTAATAGTATTTAATACAATAAAGCTTTAGAAATCTCCTGTGTATGTCAAACCTAGGAAAGGGTGGGCTTGAATATTTTATTGGACAGTTTCATTTAGTGTGGTGTGTGTGTGTGTGTGTGTGTGCACGCGCCATGCATGATAAGGCACACATGTGGAGGTCCTTCTGCTAGGTTCATTTTTCTTTTCTTCCATCATGTTGGTGTCAGTGTGGGGACTGAATTCAGGTCAGGCGGCACACACCTTCATCAATTAAGCCACCTCACAGTATGGTTTTATAATGATGATTCTAGATGACATAAAATTCTATCTCTTATGAGCAACAACCCTGTCCAGATATAGAAAATCTCTCAGTTGAGCTGCCTAAGCACACTTAACAGTCTTTCCTACCCAGCAAGTGTACACAGGGATACCTCATGAAGAGTGTGTTTCTTTGTCTACATCATGAATATTCTGTGTTTTGATGAGTGTCTACACAGTGATACACCATGAACATAGTGTTTTTGAGTGTTCATGTGAGCTTGTGTTTTATGGGAATGGCACCATTAATACTCATTTTTCTAGATCTGGATATTTTTCCAGTAGCAAACTAGAATGTCGCACTTAAGATCAGAACAGCAGCTAAGTTCCTTCCAGGCGTGAGCTTGAGTACACACACCGTTGCAGGCCTGGCCATGGCCTTGCAGAACTGGCGGTAGTATTCCCAGTGGCTTTTGTCTCTTTCATTAAAAAATTGCATTTCGAAGTAGGTTAGAAATTTCTCTGGGCACCTGGAGACGCAGATCTGTGGAACAGAGAAGCACAGTGATGGAAATGAATGGAAATAGACCAAGGAAATGCCTACAAGGTTGGATGGGCTTCTGAATTCCCCACCAGTGTGAAGACTAAAGCATAATTTTTCATCTAAGTGACTTCAATCATGTTTCTAGTTTTATTGTATAAAACTAAATTTGGCATAGAATGTTACCAACCTGTACTTCTTGCTTCCTTGGTCTTGTGTTAAAACAAGATTTTGAACAGTAATGATATTTTATGCTTTGATTTTGAAATCAGCATATAGTGTGTTAGAGACCATGGTAACATTTTCAAACCAAGCATTTTTGTGTTTCACCTTTCCCACCTCCTCCATACAGTTGCCTCTGCTCCCCTTGTATTCCCCTATTATTTTCCCATTTCCTGTCCCATGTGTCCCCTTTCCCACCTCCATCCCTTCTCATCACCTGATACCAACCTCTCTAGGGAAAGGATAACATTGAACGAGGTGACCCAAACTCATAAGATAAAACCAGCATGTTCTTTCTCATATGTAGATTCTGACCTGTGACATGTAAAGTTTAAAAACTCTAGATGGATTGATTTTAACTTGATTTTTGAGATAAATGTAGATCCACAAGTAGATGTGAGAAACTGAACTTTCCACATGCTCAGATTCCCTAAACAGTCATACTTTGTGGAACTATAAGGTAACATTATAACCACTCTCTTCATTTAGATTGAACTAATTTTATATCCATTCAGTGTGTGCCTGTGAGGGATAGTTCTACGTGCAGATTTGGGGCTTCTATCATAGAACAATTAAGATTTTTTAAAGCCCTTTTTAAAGGTTTCTATTGTTATTATTTGTGTGCTCATGTGGGTCCAAGTCAATATGTGCAATGTGCATGCAGATGCCTGAAGAGGCCAGGACAGTCCACTGGATTCCCTGGGGCTGGAGTTATAGGAGGTTGTGAGTCATCTGACAGGGATGCTGAGGAACTGAACCCAGGTCCTCTGCAAGAACAGCAAGTGCTATAAACTATCTCTCTATCTCTGTCATGAATTTTAATAAGACATTTTCTTATGATTGTCTGGCTTAATAGGTAGGAGTATAATTCAAGATTAATTCTGCAGTCTCTATATATTCTAGGTTAGAATCTTGATTTGTTTTCTATATGAATAAAATGACTTGAAATTTTCTGACGTTTGTTAATGTGCATGGGAAATATTTGTCAGTGTGCCCATGAGTTCTCCTTAATTGTGAAAACATAATTAGACTTTGTCACCATGAGAAATAAACAAAATACATATATCTGCCACAATTAATTACCAGTTAAGTCTTTCCACAACACTATCTAGACATGGGCAAGAGAGGTCACCTATGCAATTATTTTACAGTAATAGACTGGGGGCATATCAGTGACAAATCAAGCTACTGTGGTCATCCATGGAGCCATGACAAAGTGATGGTAATCCAATGTGCAATTTCATACAGGATGGTAGAAACAGGGAGGTGTAGTCTGGTGTTTTTGCTTTTTGCTGATGATTTTTTAATTTTTTATTTATTTTAATTAATGTATTTTTATTTTATGTGCATTGGTGTTTTGCCTGCGTGTACATCTGTGTGAGGACGGTGGATCCCCAGTAACTGGAGTTACAGACAGTTGTGAGCCACCATGTGGTTGCTGGGAATTGAAGCCAGTAATCTGTGAACCCCAGGAACTACAATGCCAACTTGCTTCTAGAATTTACCCAATGCTCTTAACCACTGAGCCATCTCTCCAGCCCCTGCTTATGATTTTAAAAAGAAACAAAAGCCACATCGAACTGGGAAAGCTACATCAACTTCTGCGCATCTCTCCATCAGTTCTGCTCCTCCTGTGGAAATCTCCCAGCACGGCCCATTCCATCATCTCCCATCCATTCTTTAATATTTATTTTTCTTCAATGTTTTGACAATTTCACACATGCATATCATGAATTTTCATACTCTGTTACCTCTCTCTTTCATCTTCTTCCCACTCCTGCAGAAACTCCTCTTCTTCTTACTTTTTTTGCATTTTTGTAGCACACTAAGTTCAATTGGGGTGTTTGCATGACCACAAGCACAGAGTTATTTTAGTTTTATGTTTTGGACCACTAGCGACTACACTGATGATGAAGACAGCTCCTCATCGTGCACCCCGGCTGCTGACAGCTTCAGGGAGGAGTGAAGCTCCGTGAGCCCCTCCCCACTGTGATGGGATATTGATGCGCCCCATCCGGCACATGGCTGCTATGGACTTATGGAGGTAATTGCTGTGTTGTGTCCAGCAGAGTGTGTTTCACAGCAGTCTCCATACATCCCCTGTATGGACATCTTGGAGTAGGTGACATAGATGCCGTGCTTAGGGCTGAGCAGTCAACAATAACTTATTCTCAGCACCAGTTACAGCTTTCAAATTGCCTGAATGGTCTTACTCATCTGTGAACCCTGGGAACTACAATGCCAACTTGCCAGCAAGATAAGCCTACTGGTACGTCAGTGCCATGGCTATTCTGTGGGTCACCAGATGCTCTCTGGTTGGATTTGAGGCTGCTCTACAGGAGGGAATGTATACCTGGTAACATAAACCTGGTCAAAAGTGCACGGACAGAGGACAGATGAGCCCTGGGGGAAGCTGCTACTGTTGTTTTTCTGAACAGGTGTGTTGTAAAACTGCTTTCTAAATATTTGTATTTTTATATCCATAGATTAGCACAGGTCTGAGCGTTGTTTGGAGAAGCGTCTGTTTGCAGCAGGGTACAGATAATGCAGAAACCAATGCTAGTCGGAGTGCTGGTGATTTCTTACTGGTTGACCCTAGGGACAGTTAGGCAGAAGCACAGTTGCTGAGTGGGCAGCTTTCCTGCCTTCTGCCACGCTTTTACTCTCTACAGGGCACCTGGTGTGGACCAGAACTAAGCAGGAGCGGAACCAAACACCTGCCTTGAGTCTCACAGTAACGCTGTGGGATAGCAGCAGGAGTCCCGTGACTCTGAGAAGTTTGACTGTGGAAAACAAGCCATCTCCACATTCGCCCTCCTTAAGCGCCTCATCTCCATACTCACACACATGTACATGTGCACTGCCTCTCTCTCTCTCTCTCTCTCTCTCTCTCTCTCTCTCTCTCTCTCTCTCACACACACACACACACACACACACACA